GTATTTTCCCATAATTTTAAATGGAATGACACCGGTATTGTTAAACATAAGGTTGCATTATAAGAGAACTATATAAACGTTTTCGGTCCTTGATCATCAGTGCATTAGTTTTCAGTGGCATTGAGTATATCAATAGCTCAATAGCTCAATAGCTCTGTCTTTTTTCTCTCTGAAGCAAAATGAAGTGCAATGCTTGCCTCATCGCCAGTCCTACACTCCACTTGGTCGGGTTATACTTGCGTTTGTAATTCTTCAAATAACAATTGGGACAAATGAATATGAACATGAAGTTTTATTTTAATCAAGCTTTATAAGAGTAGCCGCTTTGTGAATAAAAAAGTGGATTTGTTAACGCTACGTTTTCTCAGAATGCGTCATTTTGGCGTGGACTTTCCTTCATTGATATCATCTTTTATTGCATTGTGTTTTATGTATACAACTTTGTACGTTTTTTGTCGTAGAGGTTATCAAAACACTTGATTATCGCATAGGTGTTTCCGCGAGCTGTAATGTTACATAACTAGGAAATCCCATTGCCATGTATTCAGATTATTCTCAAGCCTAAAAAAATACACAGCTAAACTATTTTACTTCTTATTAAGTTATTACGAAGTTTGAAATATATTACTGTTATATATAATTGTTACTTTCAACAAAAGTATTCTTTAATTGATTATGGTTCATTTATGCCACACACTAACGTTCTGTAGGTTCAGAAATGCTCTGGATGGAACTTCATTTGAAAACTTGTTCTGTGAACCTGTTGATGAACGTCACAGCTTCATGTTGATGAACGTCACTGCCTTATTAGATATACAAATTCATATGAGAAGTCTCTTTGAATACAAATGTTTGCCTTAAATCTAAACAGTATACAGATAAGCCAGCGTGTTTTCTTAGTAAATTAGCAATGTGTTCAGTTTTCTACTATACTGTTGTACACTGTGTAAATTTTGTTCTTAATTGAATATTGTGAACTATTATAAGACACCAGTGTTTGTGCAAAACCTCTTGGTAGGAATTTAATCACCTCTTTACTTGAAGTACTCTCCCGAAAACTACTGATATGAGAAAACTAATAAAGATGTTGTAAAATGTTTAGTTAAATAATTTGTTTCAATTGGAAGATGGATATTAACAAATGTGTTTGACTTATATGAAGCAATATCTCGCTCGTTTCTTTCCGACATGTGCAATGTAACATCTTTGAAAACATGTAGAGGAGGAGTCTCCATTCTGCAATGTCAGGTCAAATAACCATCTGAGGTAGTTGCTCCCAAGCTGTAAACACACGTGCCACCTCAGTGATTTGACCGCTAGCTGTAATATATTCCGGTCGAGGTCATAATTTACTCCCACAAACAGATTTATGTATATTTTTAATTATTTCAGGTCTCTTTTGTAACCAATTATGTATCGGAATTGTCTGGGCAAAAATGAAACGCCAAAAAAAGCAATACAATGTTTTTTTCATTTGAAGTAAAGTTCACGAAATGTGCGTTTTTCTCACAAATTTGAAAATATAAGTTGGCCTATGTTTATTATCAGTATTTTATTACTTTTCAAAAGGTAACAGTGGATCAAGGCGTTTCATTAGCGATAGTGCGCTATATTGCTGAACCGATTCTATTTTGAAAATATGTAAAGAACAAAGTCGGTAATTTCCTCTAATGTTTTCACATTTACATTCGGTGATATCAAAGTCGAACAATGTTCGTACGCGAAAACGTATAACTTAACACGAGATATGAAATCATTAAATGATTATGTGATGTCATCCGAGAGAGATTCCGAACTTGAAATTTGTAAACATGTAAGGTACTTCCCCACGGCGAGAAAAAAAATTGTTCTCAAGGCCAATGGCGCAACCAGGAGTTTTCTCTGGGAGAGCTATAGGTATAGTGTCTGGCAGACGTGGCGTTTTCGCATAACAAAATTCAATTGAGCTGAATTTAAAATTTGTTTTTATTTGTTCATTTGTCGTTATTATTTAAGGTATTCGACTAACTTATTGAACGGCATTTATTTGCACAGAAGATTAGTGAAAACTATTTGTGAATATGTGACTTCTGTGGGGAGGAGGTGCTTAACCACCCTCATGAAACCTCTCCCCCTACGTTGTTGTAGCGCTGTGCTCAAGGGCTGTAGAGGAGCTACTCTAGGAAGGAACCACTTTGACAGGTCGAGAAACGAACGTCATACAGGGCGATGACATTGCAAGAGATAGCCATGAAGCCATTTACAAAAGAACTGATAATGAACAAACTGACAAAATGAGGGGGATGGACATAACTTGCAATTATGATATCAGCCGTGGCCAAGCGGTAGTTGTCAAACTGGTCCCTTTTTATTCTTTTTTTTTCTTCCCTAGGGCTTTTCCAGCCGACAGTCGGTTACCCTTTTGGGTCCCGATGGGATGCATATTTGACCGTGCACTAGACATCAACACATTTGCAGGACCCTCTGATCTGGTATCAGCAGAACGTGAGACCCTCCACTATGACACATACATGAGTGACGAGGGTCAAACAGGCCCAAGGCGGGACTCGAACCCGCGCCTCTTCAGACAAAAGCGCTGAGTTGTTGTACGTTGTTAATTACGTCACCTACCCAGGTCGTCCCTCTTCTTATTCTAAACTGTCTATATGAAAGGGGGCGTGGCAATCCCTCTGCGAGTGGTTGGAATTCTTAGGTGAATCGGATGATTCCGACGTCGTCTTCCGTTTGCCGTCGGACGCTGCCTCTGTTGTCGCCGCGTTGCGCCGCCGGCTGCGGTCAAGCGGTGGCGGCGGCCGGAACGCAAGAGGGGTGCGACCGGGAGCGGCGAGGGGGAGGGAGAGGGGGTGGGGAGGGGCGCAGCTGGAGGGCCTCCGCCGCGAAACGCCCTCGCCCGTCGTGCCTAATGACTGCTCGGCCACGGCGCGCCAAGGAAGAAAACGAGAAGCGGTCGAGAGAGGGAGAGGGAGAGGAAGGGAAAGATGAGGACGCGCGGACTTCGAACTGTCGCCGCCCCCTCCACCTGGACGGCTGCCGCCCGCCGCCTCCTTGCCTCGGTCGGAATTTCGCGCCCGATGCCACCACTTTCCACGCACGATCCAGTCTCCACTTTCCTTGTTTCTGCTTTTCAAGCGAGATCCTTTCGAGAAGAAATTTTCCTAATTTCTTGTGCGATTCTTGCCTTCTCTAACAATTTCTTGCATTTTTTGTATTCTTATATTTCATTTTTGAATTACTGAGTTCTGCCCTGGGCACGATCATTTTATTATTTTTTGTTGATGTTTTTATTTTTTGTGGGGGGTTTGACTGTCCATAGAATTAATTTTCCTTATCAGAAGTATATGACTATTTGTATGTGATTTACATTTACTCTTTTTAGAATTATTTATTTTATTTACATTTTCTTCTTCTCTGTCGGTGTTTTTTTCATCTGTACGACTATTGCATTTTTATGCAAGTTTGACATTATAATGTTTGTCGTAATGTTTTCGTCTACTATGTTTGTCGTATACCCACGATTTTACTGCCAGCGTTTTATTTTAACTTTACTTTAAGGAATGTTTACTATAGTTATTATACTGTCAAAGATGGCGTATTTATTTCACAGCGATACAATATTAGGTCCATCAGCAGTTCCAACGCAAACGTCACCTCCACAGACGCGCGCAACCTAAAGGGGGTAAAATTCATTTTTTAGCCCATTTTCTCTTATTTTTTGTCTTATTACCTCACTTTTTTATTTACATACATAAGATTTTACTTGTAATTATATAAAACATATTACAAGGAGAATGGAATTATAAGTTTAGTCATACAATGAATACATACAATTTTTGTTTATGTAGTCAAAGCACAGTAAAAACTGTAAGTGACGTATAGGGGAGATCTGCACACGTTCATATGATATAATGTTGAACAATTTGCAGTTTGCTGATGGCTTGGAGACTCTCTTCCTCAAATGGGTAGGGATTCCGCAAATTGTCATGCTAAGAGGGGGGAATCAGGGATCGAAAATATTTACGAAAAAAAAACTGTACACCTGCCAATGATCAACATAGCCTCTCGTACTGAAATCCCGCCACGTATGATGATTGATTGAGTGATTCAGGTGGCGTAAACTGCTAAGGTCATTAGTCCCATAACTGTAGTGCATATTTTGTCCCGACTGGTCTCGCGGCTAGTGTGGTAGTGTAGTGAATGCAGGGGTAAGTGTATGTAAGTGGCAGGATAGGACAAGGAAAGGGAAGGAAAAATTGCGCGCAATGGGTGCCCGTTTGGTAAGGTATTGCTCCGGCATTCGTCTGGCAGAAAAACTATCAATCAGAGCAGCCGGTAGCCAGAATTCTGCCCAAGACAACGGATGAACTCGTCCTTTCTATATGCCTAGTCATTTAGCTAGGGTCGGAAATCCGGCCACCGTCGGGCCCCGAACTTAGGACCTGCCGGTCAGGGGCACTGCAGTGACATCAACCGATGCCCGGTCGCCGCGCACGAGCACCCCCCCCCCCCCCCC